ATAATTTTTATCTATTATCAAACTTATACGTTTTTTCTGAATGGAATTCACTATATATATATAAAGTACATAATATAGATAATCATTGAAAACTTGAGATCCGAAAGAAAACTGATACCGATTCTACTAATCCCATTAAAATCCTTTGATTACTTTCAATTAGGTGTGTGTTGTGTTATCAATTTATGATCTTAGATCATATTTTAGATCTCTCTACGAAGAGATAAAAAGACAACCGTGATTAAAATATTTCCCAGTATGATACGATCTAATCTATCTGGTAATAATTACGATACTAATTTTTACGGTTTCCTTTGGTAAGAACGGAAAAGGCCGCGAAATTCACAAAAGATATCTTCTTCATTAATAGACGTAAATACGTAGAAATAGGCAAAAAAATCTCTTTTTCTATTTTAACAATATTTCCCTCACATTTTTATAGTTTTTGAGAAGTTTGCAAAATTATGAAAAGATTTAACAAATATTGACGTGCAATCTTATATTCGATCGAAAGAGCACACAGAATAATATTTGAGTCATGTAAATAATTTTAAAATGCGTCAAACAGTTTGAAAAAAATTACACGTGACTAGAATACGTAGGCGAGATTTAATGTTTATTAAGTTACACACACTTTATAATAATTGATGTATCAGGGTTAAATTGAAATGTTTATTTCGAAAGTTGTTGTTTGCGTTCTTTACATGTGCTAATTAAATGTATAAATCGTCGTTCGCATTTCGATACAATTGATCTATTCGCTGATGTATATTGATGTAAAAATTTGCGTGACGCACGACGTCATATCCTATTTGTCGTGACATTTTGAGGGCGACAGATAACATTTTCATGTAGTTTTCTCTCTTTTCATCTCTCTCTCTCCTCAATCACACGTCATGTAATCGAGTGATAAACATCTATTTCCGCATAGACTAAAACGCATGTACTGCGTGCGCGACGCGTGCCAATTTTCCTCGGCTTGTCGTGAACGTGTCTTGAGTCGATGATGGCATTAAGACACGCGTTCGCAACGTGATGATAACGTTTTTTTGAATGTACTTGCAATCGTAAATACTTTTAGCCAGACGCGTTTCATGTTGAGAATGACTAATCTCCTAGACTTTTCTCCTACGCTTATCGCGAAAATAACGATCGATCTTTCGCCGATCATTCTGATTTTTCCGACATGTAAAGCTATTAGAAGATTGCGAAAACAAAGCAATTTTTTATTACTATTTAATTCTAATCCTTTGTCTATAAAAAAGAGAAATATATGAGATTATCTTATCTCGTGTAAGGAACGCTAGCAAAATAAATCGATCAATTTATAAAACAAAAATATTTAATCGATAAATGGAAGAATCATCCGTGATCCGTAATAATTTAGTTTCCATAATCGTGTCCCAAAAATAAATAGCATCTTTATCAGTTAGATTAAATCGGTTGCGTCGTGAGACAGGGCGATCTCCGTAAATTCGCTGTCATTGCTTGACGATCTGCCAAAATTGCAGCATAATGCAGATGTCGCGCGCGAAAGAAGGCCAGCTGGCCAGTCACTCGCGCGTCGATGGTAGTCGATCAGTATCCGCGGTCAGTGATTGATCATACGGTCTCGAGCGGTGTTACCTGTCCGTCCGATAATCGTTCCCGGTGATTCGTCGTCAAACATACGCGGTCGTGAAAATTCGATCTGACAAATATATCATGGAGAATCCGCGAGGTAATCACGGTAGAGCGGATCGAGCGAGCGAGCGAGCGAGCGAGCTAGCTATTCCCTCGCGATATCTCGCGGTTGCACGGAGCAAGAAGGGAGTGTGTTTACATCGCGATGCATCCGAATGGGGATGGTGGTAACGTCACGGCAGCTCGTTATTTGATTGAGATGACGGAGGAAGCGGCAGCGACGACGACGACGGTCGAGAGGGCAGTCGTGCGGGTGGCTGAAAGGTCGCGGCCTCCGTCGATTGATACGGTTATAGGGAATGCACTTTGGACCAAATGTTCGCGCCGGCTAAGAGGGATAAAGCGCGACGTTAACGCGTTGCTTCAGTGTCGTCTCGGCCACGCAAAGCGACGCACCGCAAGTCACTTACTACCCGCTCGCTCCTTCGCTCGCTGGATTTTTTTTTTTTTTCTCCTTAGAACCCTCGATCTGTAAGTCGAGGAACCATGGATCCCAGCCAAGAGCGACAGTAACATCAAAGAAGTCGAGCAGCGAAAAGCGTTTGCGCGCACAAGGTGATCGCGAGCCGATTTCTATCAGAGAAAGAGAGATAAAAAGCGAGAGAGAAATAGATAGATAGAGAAGCTGCGTGAGAGCGAGAGAATAAAACAGCCACATCTTTCGCCGCGAGTCTATACGCACGTGGTTGCACGTGACACGACGTTTCGCGTGAACAAGGAGGACCGCAGGCACCCATTGACGTTGCCACCTTTCTTCTCTTTCTATCTTCACATTCTTGTAAATTCACCGCGTCGATCATGTCTACAGAACCGGGTAGCTTTACCTCCAACGGGAGCATGATCGTCGTGAGCAACAGGTTGCCGTTTGTGCTAAAGAGGAATGAATCGACCGGTCAGCTGGATTTTGTTTAACCACGTTTTTCGAGAAAACATACGCCGTTAACAGGATATTTGCCATAGAATAGAGATGATTTCGTTCGCATGTATCGGTCTTATAGTAAAATTTAGTGATCAAGAAATTTCTTTTTCTTATCTCGATGTGATATTTAAATGTCTTTGACGATGATTCGAGTCACGGAATGGATGATATTTGCCATAGAATAGAGATGATTTCGTTCGCATGTATCGGTCTTATAGTAAAATTTAGTGATCAAGAAATTTCTTTTTCTTATCTCGATGATATTTAAATGTCTTTGACGATGATTCGAGTCACGGAATGGAAAATTATAAGAAATTGTGAATGTTTAAATTAATGCATATGTCAAGTGATAAAAAGACGCGAAACATATAACGAAAGATTATTTCGGTTATTTCGGAAAAAAAATGCATCATATTGGAAAATAAACACATGGCATATATACGCGGATACAGTCAACAATAACAAATCAGTGTTATAACGAAAATGATAATGCGAATGACAAAGATCGTTTAAAAATCTCGTAGAACAAAATAGAATAAAATAGTCTTATGATTCTCTTTATATTCGGTAAATATTTGACAATACGACCTCGAAGATTAGACGTGACATTGTTTGCGTCTGTCAATGTAAGAGTCACTGTCAATCAATAGTTCGTATTCGTCGAAAGCAAAGATCTAGAAAATACGATGTATGCCGCAAAAAAGAAATGATCAAAGATGATTGGTGCGGTAATTTGAGATATTTAATTGAATTGATAAAAGAAAGGGAGAAAAAATTTAACGAGCGCTATTCGTATCATGTGGCGAGCGAACATAAAGTACGTATCTCTCTTTCTCTTAATCATATTCAAAATAATTTTTTTTTGGCGAGTGTAATCTAATCGTGTTTGCGGAATACAAATGTTAATGTTCTTATAAAATGTCACGCGGAATTTATGGATTCCTGATAGGAGCAGATTAGTTAGAAGAGTAATGTAATTTCTTATTTGTTCTCTTTACTCACGTTGACATCAAAACATGGTACAAGACTTTGAAAAATTATTAATTGATCACTGGTCATATTCGATTTATTGTCTAGTTTATTTTTTTTCTTATTATATTCAATTAAATATTTCTCCATATCATATGAAGAAAAATTTTCAATTTTTCTAAACATTGAAAAATATAATTTTACTCCAAAGATTAATTAGTGAGATATTTAATAAATTGCACTTTAACTATTATTTACAGCAGATTGTTTTTCTCATATAAGTCAATTTTATTCAATTTTTAGAAGAATGACATTTCTCGGCGCTTGTTTCGCGAATAATAACGATATTATTTCCGGTATATTTCTCAATTACGTAATTACCCATGGGCTATACGAAACGACGAAATAAAGTATCTCCGGCACGAAAAGATAACCAACTAATGAAGAGTATACAAGTCGTTTGATAAGTATAATTATCGCGAATTTTTCGAAGCGCTTGCCAGCGAGACGCATACCAGCTGCGTCATAATCGCACGTGTCTACCTCGTGTCTACCGGTCACACTCGCGTGTTGGGCTCCTGAATACCCACGCTATCATCTCTAATCGCGTAAAGCAGCGCGCGAGAAATTTGCGCCGAATCGTAAAAAAATATTTATAACGCGAATGACCAGTCATTACCAATTATTGCTTTCCGAACCGATAATTCACGAGAACCGGTTAAATTCGATAAGAGACATATTAATACATTTGATTAAGCGCCTGGATTATATTTATCATATCCTCACATACATTGAATCGTTCTTATCTATTATATAAATATATAATCTTCTTTCTCTTTTTTTTTTCTCCGGATATATCGCATTCGATGTGTTGTGCTACATGAAACGATACAATATAGAGAGATTGGTATAAAGTAATCGAACATATAAATAAATCGACGATAATTTCTCCATCGTTATAGAATCGCGACGAGATGTCGTAGACACAATAATTATAATTACGATCACTGACAACAAAGTAAAAAAGTATTGATTACGATAAGAAACAACATCATCCGCGGTTTATAAACATTCATTCGTATTCATTTATATCAGAGAGGACTTACAATATATCGCAAATGCTTCGTCGTCAGTCGCGAAGTTATGGTTGCCAAAAGAGAATTGGCCAACTTTTACTTTTTTGGCAATTGACAAGCCCAATCGGAAATAGCACTTTACAACTAGTAATTGTTATCTTTGGCGACTGGCGATGGAGCATTTGCGACGTATTGTAGAATGGCTCTTAGATTGACGTTCTACGACTTGAAATCAAGTATCAGATCAGTATCTTGGTTGTAGGAAAATGTTAAGGACCTATCCAGATAGATTTGCATAGTCGCATAAATATATGTGTAAGAAAATTAATTGGTTTCCTTATGCATGTCTTTATGCAACTATGCAAATCTATCTGGATAGATTCTAATGCGATATTTTCCAGCAATGCGTAAAAATCGACACACGGGTTAATCGTAAATAAAGTATAGCACACGATCCTCTCTCTACAGGACATCTCAGACACATCCTCTTTCATCTCTTTGAATTCTTTCATTAATTTCTCGAGAAAAAACAATCGCGATAATAGTTCGCGATTTTGATATACAGCAGATTCACTCGAGAGTAAATATGCGTTAACAAACTAACGCTATCGTGTAATTATCACGCGCGAAAATCTAAAAGACAAAATACTGTAATAATATTGGAGTGATTTCCGGAAGATCACGGCGTCATCACGCATTTGCGCGCGTTATATGCACGTGCTTTTAAGAAATCTCTTGGTCGATCATGGACAAGACAAACACAACTAATGACGCGATTGTACATTACGTAAACGAGTTGGTCATTATATTCAATGTCGCTTTTGATAGCGCGAACGTGTTTGTTAAATGTATAATTAATTAATTAGAATGATAACATCTCTGCAAATCTTCATCCTTACATATTAGATGCAAAGAATGCATTTTTTAATGCGAGATTGAGATGCGAAAATAATCAAATGATAATATGACGAATCTAGATACATTTTATTTAATATATTGGTTCTTAGATAATCCTTTGTAAAGTATTTGCCTTATATAAGGTACAGTTGTTTCGATATTGATTTTTCTAGTTTTGGTGAACATTTTAAATAAATAACACTATTGATATTCATTGCAGATATACTATTACAAATCGACCGTAAACGTTTCTTAGCATTAATTAACTCTTTAATTATTTATGTCATCTCGATAATAAATATTTTCAAATTTTTATATTTATTGTTTCTCTATATTTGCTAATGTATGTATATATTTTTGTTGATTTATACATTGAAATGGAAAATAGTTGACAGTGCATTTGAGAACGTATTTAATAAGATCGTCTTTCAATCTATCTTCCGTTTTAATTAATACGAAGCATTGGAAGGTGATCGATGTAAAATATCAGGTATAATTCAAATTCTATGTCACTTTAAAGTAGATGGATGTATATTGTTAACAAACTAACGGTATCAGGATATTCTATAACGCTTGCCAAGATACAATTACGTTATGTGATACAGCTGAATTATGCAAAGTCAAAGAGAGAGATTCATCTAAATAGTAAATAATTTAATATGCTGCATTACACACATTAAAATGACGAAATTTTTTAATACAAGACTGTAAATTTGATTTTAAATTCTACAGCGCAAAACTTTTACACAAATTATTTTGACAAAAACGTATTTTAGATTTATCTGTCTTAATTTACTTTTGTAGATGTTTTTCTTTTTCATATTTTTGTCTATGTTTATATATGTAACACATTTTCTTATAAATTCTTCTTTTTTACAGCGCCGGTGGTCTGGTGACCGCGGTAGCACCGGTTGTCATAAGCGGAAATGGAGTCTGGGTCGGATGGCCGGGTATGCACATGGAAAATCCAAACGAACCGATCCCCGAATCTGATCCCAACGATCGTACACCTACAGCCGGTCTGTTGTCTCGGAAGGTGAGTTAATTTGAATATTTTTGAATCAAATATATTTTGGTGTTTCACTAAATTTCGTTCAAACGAGTTCAAGAAAGAAACAAAGAAGTTTTGTATAGCCCAAATTAGCCATATCTGGGCCAGATGGCGTCTTATCATTATTGCCGCTCATATTACGTAGATTTCGCTAACCTTGGCATTGACAATATACCGCGTAGCGATAGAGAATAGTCACCGTTCCCCTCCTCGATCGACCTGTAATATTCCACGCTACGCCGTCGAATGTTCTCGAAAATTCCAATGTAACTCATCCGTCAAATAGTACATCGATGATGATTTACTCTTTTTTTTTCTATCTTCTATTTACAACATAACTAGGATCTATGTTATTCTCGATTGATAATCAAAGAATATATTTTATTAGTATATCTATTTAATCGATTATCAAAAATTAATCGCTCAGCAATTGTTTACAAAAAATAAATTGTTAGAGCAGCATAAACACGAGAATCACTTGCACGAGGAGAATAATTAGTGCAACATATCGATTCGGAGATGCCCTTTGCCTTTCCTCTTGACGTTGAAAAGTTCGGTGACAGTTCAAAACAGCTTATTTATAGATTGTTTTCACGGTGATATCGCGTATTTTCCGGCAAGAGCAATGTGACTATGCTTACTGATAAACGATCATTTTATTTTCTTTCAACATGCAGAGTAATATATAGCTTGTAACGAGTAATAACATACTATCTATTTTATTGATCATCGAAAATTATTTTATCATTAACGTAGATTAAAATAACATAATAACATAATATGAAAAATTTTTAGGGAAAAATACGAATAAAGAAACGACAGAAACTTATAGTTACTCGTTTGCAGAACAAAATCATTCATCATCTTGGAAATTGAAAGAGAAACGTACGAAGATTTGATTTTTGTTCAGATTTAGTTATAGTTATAGAACGACGGGGTTCGTAAAGGAATCCTGGAATTTTTAAGTTAATTTCCTATCTTCGAAAAAAAATAAATTGTAAGTAATAAATACATACATATGTAGACTGGGATTACGGCGGTAGGATATATAAACAATGATGGATTAGAATATAAAAATAGTGTTTATTATAACAAAACTAGACTGAAAGATTTGAGCTAACAGAGATGCTACCCGCGACAAATAACAGTCGTTCCTTTATTGAGTCGATTGTCTCGAGTCGTCGTCTGATCCGCCTGATCAGTTAAAACGCTAATTTTCGATTAACTCCCCTTTTACACGCGAAGGACCTTTTCGCTGGTCAGTCTTATCACGCGAGGATCAATCCAGACCCATCTGATATCCAGACGGGCTGGCCTCTACGCGAGAAATGTCAGGATCGCAAATCATAAACACTTCCGGTTTCGCTTTCTCTTTTATTTTTACCATACGTTGCTAGTACTATCATTCTATAACTACCATATTTCGAACAATGACAAGAAAGTCAGGCAATAGAAACTATAAAAAATAGAAAATCTAAAAGGAAAGTTCTAACGTAAAAATATTTCCGATTCTACACGTACATTTTGCGACAGATCAATTTTTGGATTCGAAAATCATCGCACGAAATGAATGAATCCAAAATGGCTGGCTGTAATCCGATGTCACGGATATTCGAGTCGCGGGGTCGCGATTCGCGTAGGGTTATCATTGCGTGACGCATTACGAGCCCCTACGTCTCTATCATCATAGATGATAACTTTTGCTAAGTCTTTGGCGCTATCGACGGCGATTAAAACTATCAACGAAGATTAAGCACGGATTACGCCCACGCGGACATCGCAATGGAAATCACGTGAATATTGCGCAGGCGAGAGTTTTTCAATATCGCCGATAACAATGTCCGGACGATAGCCTATAATAACGTTTAATTAACGACGATGATTATTAGAGTCGTTGTGATTAGAGTCGTAGGCTGCATGGCGCGACTATTATCGTTAAGTAAAGAAGTTTTTATGCAACGAATTGTTCTGCGACGACATGCGACTTACGTTCAGTGCTCAATGATTACTCAACGGACATGTGCTTGGAATATTGAAAAAAAAAACATCTTTTTAGATTAGATATATTATTTCTATCTTTCTAATAAAAAATTATCTGAGCTATAGAAATGTATTTTTATACCCCAGAATATCGCTGAAAACCCGATAAATCGTTATTTAATTGAATTGTAAAAGTTTCTGGATTTCTGTTTTGCTTTGTTTTCTATTCTTCTTACGTCAGTTTTACCATGAGCATTTGCGTATTTCTCCCGTTCCCCTCTTAGCAGTCCTATCTTTCTGTCTATCGCGGTTGGGACGTTCAATAATATGTTTGCATAACACGAGGAGCGCACACATATAAGAAACAAAGAAGACGAAAGGGGAAAACAACGTTACAAGGGGGCAAAGCCGACTATCATGTCACGTGGAATGTATACGCGATAACGAGCAATTAAATTGTTTACATTATATTTCTAAATAGCCGTTGGACGAAATAATGGTACAAGATATGGTTTTCCATATGTCACATAAAAATTCGATTACGCGATTTATCCCCTCCCTCTTTCCTTCCTTCTAAATACTGGATATAATGTCGAGAAAAATATTTAAAATTATTGTTCTAAAATAATTATGTGTGAAATCTTTTCCAAAAATTATTTATTTTCAAGAATCGAAAGTTTACATTTTTTCTCGTTTGATTCGTTTTTACAAATAATATTCTATAGTCTTTCCAGCGTTATTATCGATTGATAACGATAATCGATTTGCGATTCGTGTGAATTATAATCGAAAACATCGAATGACGTTGCATCAAGTGCGTTTCGACATTTGCGAAGATAAAATATGCCGATTTCTTAATTAAATTGATAGTATATTTTATGACTTTTATTATAGGAAAGTACTGCTTAACTTAATTAACAATTCTGATACTTTGTTGCGATATTCGTTTGAAGTTGAAATTCATCGAGGTCATCGCTTGTTTCCTCCCGATTCTACTCGATTGAAAAAACCGTCAGTGAAATTGATATGTTTTATCGTATCGCTCGATTAAGCAACCTCGCGACGACGAGGATTCTCGAACGGAGAAAACGATAAGAAATGCGCGACCGATTCTTAAGCCAGCCGTGAATACATATATACGCGATGAGGTAAAGAGAAGCTTTTCCTGACCTCTCTTAATTAATGCGGACCGGCGATATACACGCAAAAAATAACAAACGGCGGTCGCGGTTGATTGTGTCTATCGTTCGAAAAAGCATTAAACCACCTTATCGCTCGTCGGCGATTGTCCGCTTGCGTCAAGCAGAGATCTTTCTTGTAGTGCGGCCTGTTTTCACATTCGATCGGAGATAAAGGAGGGATAGTAGTCGCGAACAAAATAACAAAGAGTTGTTGGATAACGAGGGACAATGTATTAACGAAGGGGAGGTCGATACGTCGTTATCGGACGCGAAACCAATCTTTATGCACTTCCGATCCGTCAGCCCCTCAGGCTTTATTTTATCTCCCTTGTCTTATTTCTTATTACCGCCGTGTCTGGTTTCGCGATACCTTTCCAGACATTCGAGATATCTATCCCGAATGTCCGAGTGCAATTTTATAGATTTAAGCTGTACATCTTGTGCGTATTTTACGTGCGATATGCAATGATATGCAATGTGATTAAAAGTTTCAGAAAACATGTCTCTTTATTTCGAAGAGAAGCATTGCAAAAATACGAAAGTGATCGCAAAGAATTGTAATTTTATCGCCTTCCCAAATTATTCTCTCTTTGTTTGCAGGTTGTCGCGGTACACGTTGATCCCGGCATCTTTGATTCATATTACAACGGATGCTGCAACGGAACCTTCTGGCCGCTCTTTCACTCTATGCCGGATCGGGCGACCTTCATCGCGGATCATTGGCGCGCGTATTGCGTTGTTAACGAAAAGTTTGCCGCTAAAACGGTATGATTGTATGCTTGGTAATGATTAGTATTGTTCGTTTCTTTGCAATCCGAAAAAAATATGTTTATCTTAATTGAATCAATTGCAGCCAATATTTATTTTCTTATAGCATGAAGCAAAATTATACAAACGAATTAAATATCATCGTAGTTTGTAAAAAGTGAATAATTTTTTTCAACTATTTTAACGAATCTGTCGTTGCAGGTCGGTGCCTTGGAACAAATTCACAAGGAACAGGAGAACCAGCCCAACGGCACACCGTTGGTATGGATTCATGATTATCACTTGATGTTAGCCGCCAATTGGATTAGACAAGCGGCCGACGAGAAGGATCTCAGGCTCAAATTAGGTTTCTTTCTTCATATACCCTTCCCACCATGGGACATCTTCAGGCTATTTCCGTGGGCGGATGAGATCCTGCAGGGTATGCTTGGTGAGTGATTTTGTTAATATTTTCTCGGTTTTTCTTAGATTAAGACTCATTTTGAACTAATTTTTTATTTGTAACTCACTTGTTCATCTAGGATGTGACATGGTTGGTTTTCACATTCAGGATTATTGTCTGAACTTTGTCGATTGCTGCCAGAGGTGCCTCGGCTGCAGAGTGGATCGTAAGAATTTGCTAGTCGAACACGGAGGCAGGACAGTACGAGTAAGACCGCTGCCAATCGGTATTCCGTTCGATAGATTTGTCTCACTGGCAAAGACTGCCACCAAAGTCATGCAGTCAAATCAGAAGATTGTTCTTGGCGTCGACCGGCTCGATTACACCAAGGGTCTCGTTCATAGATTGAAAGCCTTCGAGATGCTACTGGAGAAACATCCCGAGCATCGTGAACAGGTCTGTTCAAATGCGTCTGCTTGCATAATGCGTGCAAATTATTCCGCAAATTAATTAATCTGAAATTAATCAGAACAATATTGAACAAGCATATCCAATCGTGTTGCAGGTAACGATGTTGCAAATTGCAGTGCCTTCACGCACCGACGTTCGTGAGTATCAGGATCTGAAGCTCGAGATGGATCAACTGATCGGTTGTATAAACGGTCGCTTCACGACACCCAACTGGTCGCCCATACGTTATATTTACGGTTGCGTGAGCCAGGACGAACTAGCGGCATTCTACAGAGACGCCGCTGTCGCTCTCGTCACGCCGCTCAGAGATGGCATGAATTTAGTCGCTAAAGAATTCGTCGCCTGTCAAATCAATAACCCGCCGGGAGTGCTAATAGTATCGCCGTTCGCTGGTGCCGGCGAGATGATGCACGAGGCTCTGATTTGCAATCCTTATGAGATTGACGAAGCTGCGGAAGTGATTCACAGGTATATGTGACTGTTTTTTTTTTTTTCATTATAATAAAATTAATCTGAAAACTCCATGCAATTAGAAATTTCGCTTTTCGGCGGTCTTATTATCTAATTTCAATCATTTTAAAATGCATTGAAACAACAATAAATAATAAAGTAAAATAAAACATGATATGTTTAAATAGAGCTCTTACCATGCCCGAAGATGAACGTACGTTAAGAATGAATCATTTACGTCGACGTGAGAAGATATACGATGTCAACTACTGGATGAAGTCCTTCCTTCAAGTGATGGGATCGCTCGAGGAACACGATTCCGTGGGTGCTACTACAATGCAGCCCGTGACTATGGATGATTTCGACGATTACTTGAGCAAGTAGGTATCAGATATGTTAAGAGATGTGCATGACTGGGCCCGACCAGCGCATGCGCATGAACGGGATATATCCATGTAAGGTATAATATATAAGTATGTACAAAAGTAAAAAGAAATCAAAGTAATTATTATCTTAAACTAAGAATTACTGCATTATATATAGAATTGATTACTTTTAATTTGCATTAAGATAGTACTAATTGTAAGCGAATCAGATACGCTTCCAAGTGGTATGTTTAAGCTAAGCATGAGTTTTGGTACGTCGCAGCGTGGCGACATAATACGACTACGCTTATATACACACGTCGTTATGATGGCGGTGACGAGTTATAATGCATTCTTTTGCACTATGTGGGATATTGATCCTATAATATCCTATATCCATACGTTTTTGGGGCATATGAAAGAGATATGAAGAAAACGCTTTTTCGAAAGACGGCGGGCCCGCGCGAGCGAATGTTACCTGACTCATGACGAAAGCCGGATAACGATCCAGTGACAACCACATGTCCCCTAGGTATATCGGTGAAAATCACAAATTGGCGCTTCTCTTGGATTACGACGGCACACTAGCGCCCATCGCCACTCATCCTGACCTAGCAATTTTACCGCTTGAAACGAAAAACGTTCTGCAAAGGCTGTCTAACATGTCGGACGTTTACATTGCGATTATATCGGGCAGAAATGTGAACAACGTGAAATCGATGGTCGGAATAGAGGGTATCACATATGCTGGAAATCATGGATTGGAAATCCTACATCCGGACGGTAGTAAATTCGTTCATCCTATGCCCGCCGAATTTGAGGAAAAAGTGGCCAGTTTGATGCAGATGCTACAGGAACAGGTACGTGAAATGTTATTGATATATTGTTATTTATATGTATGAGATAAAAGTAATACTTGAAATATTTTTCGTCAAATGAAATCTCTATAGCTATATATAAAACTATTATAATGACGTTATCCGTTTTTTTAAATGGACGATTTTATATTTATCTGTCTGTTAAAGCTCTGCAAGGACGGTGCCTGGGTTGAGAATAAAGGAGCACTTCTCACGTTCCACTATCGCGAGACACCGGTAGAGAGTCGTCCCAGGATGGTGGAGCAAGCTAAAAAACTTATCGAGGCCGCTGGATTCAAGGCATGTTCCGCGCATTGCGCCATTGAGGCGAAACCGCCGGTCGAATGGAACAAGGGCAGCGCTTCCATCTATATTCTACGTACGGCGTTTGGTCTAGATTGGAGCGAACGTATCAGGATTATATATGCCGGTGATGATGTTACAGATGAGGATGCGATGAAGGTACAAATTTTTTTGTCAGCCCGAGCAACGATATCTTTCAATCCATTAAAAACAACATTCATTAAGGTTCTGTGATTATCATGAGAATTTTAATCTGTTTCTGCATAGACCTTAAAAGGTATGGCCGCTACTTTCCGCGTGGCGTCATCGCACATCATCCGCACGTCCGCGGAAAGACGGCTGCCTAGCACGGATTCTGTACTCACGATGCTAAAGTGGGTCGAAAGGCATCTCAGTAGGCGCAAGCCCCGCAATAGCATTGACATTCCGGGCATCCCGTCACGATTTCGGCGCAGCAGCGGTGGGATCACGATGGAGATGTCTTACACGCCACCAAGAACGCCTCTCGAATCGTAGGTTACGCTCAAATATCCATCGTTATAACATATCAAGTATATACTTGGCGCAGTATATATTATTTGTCTTAGGGTTATAATGTACACGCAGAGTCATTAACGCCTCGATTCATTTGTATTTACAAGCATATCGGGACATATGCGTGATAAATTCACATGTTATGGCTTTTGAATGACTCCGTATGTACTCGTAGCGTAAAGTATACTAGCAGAGATGGAGGAGCAAAAGGAAACTAAAGAATTGTTGCAAGCAATCTAAGAGCAGGTAAAAGGGAAGATGGAAAAAATATTGAAGAGATCTGCATCTAAATTGTATGTCGAGTGTAGCAGAGTATAAAAAGTATATAAAATAGTATATAGAAGTATAAAGAGATATTCGCGATCGACAGGTCAAAACGGATGATTCTCTTCTCGATCGAAAGCATGATAACGATATCGTATTATCAACGCAAACATTGACTAAAGAGTACGAATAACGTAATCATTAAATTATAGTATAGTTTTTAACATTGATCAAAGTTTTTTCCAATACAGGTTATACGATTTTAGCCCGAAAAATATTCAGCTCGTACAAAGTATATGCGATACTGCGATCAATGTTTCCCGTACAATTAAAGTTTCGACTCTACAAGATTTTGTATATATACATATATATCTATTTTTTCGATATATTCTCTTATTGAATTATTAATCAAATTGTGTAGAACCAATTATCATATGTTTGCAAAGATATAGCAGCTAGACTCTTAGTTTTTAAGTTCACACGTGTCGCTGATTAAAAGAATAAATACTCGACAAATAATACGGCAAATTGAAAGTGCAAGTTATACTTATTAATTTTGTATCTTATCTTGTTCATAATTTTTGTCAGTAACATAACAAGATGAAAGTAAATGAGAGAAACACGAATTGTCCCAGCTCTTCTTTGAAAATGACAATATAATAATTTTTTTTATTTTTTGTTTATTTTTCTCCCTCCTTTTTTTAAATGACCAATCGCGAATATAAGTAATATTGATCATTAAACTTCGAATAAATACAGCATTAACGATAAGAATCTCCTTGATCCCGTTCATTATATTCTATCGTTCTTTCTAGAAATGCGTTTGGGTGCGCGCGTGAGTCATCTCTGATATTAAAATATAATAAACTAATAGCCTTGCTAACGAAGCAATTGGAATTATTTTTTTATGTATTTTTTCATGTAGAAATAGAAGTTTACTATTAACTTTTAATATTAGAGGCTGTATACTTTTCACTGAGTGACATATCAAGTTACCAAGAAACTGTGCCAATTTCTATTTAATGTCGCGCAATACGGTGAATACTTTGTCGATATGATAATAATAAGAAACGTAAAAATATATGGATACAAATTTTACAGGAATTGGCTGAAAGTCTAACGAGCACGCAAAACTGGACGAATAAGTTTAGTATAAGATGCTGCAAAAAACAAAATTTTAAGAAAGGTAGACTCAAATTAGATTTTACACTTTTTTTAAGTAGAATAAGACGCGAAATGTAAAAAAAAGAAGGCGAAAGAAAGTATTGGTATTTACTGATATAATTGTTTTCGTGGTTGTGTCTACGATTATTAGCGATAATAAATAAGAAACAGCTATATATACATAGATATATATAATTAGAATCTATGTCTTTTATATAAGATAATGTCGTGCGTTTCTTCATGCCGTCGGATAATACTGACTATAAACTGGTATAAACTGGCAGTGCGTATATCCGTCTTTTGTCACGAGTTTATTTTAAAGAGAAAAACTTTCTGAAAGTAATGCGCGCAACTAAATAGCATCATTAAATGTACAAAATATAATCCAATAATTAAAAAAAAATTGTGACAGAAAAAAAGGAGAAAATAAGATGTCTCTGAAAATGCGACCAAATCTAGAATTTTGAAGAAAAAATTGTGTAAAAAAAAAATAAAAAAGAAAGAAAAACAAAATGTCTCCAAAAATGCGACCGAGCGATTTTAAACGATTTTAACCGGTTATGTAAATAAAAATGAAGATTTATTCTGAAGTGAAACTATCTGAAACTGTATAAGAGAGAGAGAGAGAAAGAATATATATTTATATTATTTATTTTAAAAATTTATTAGAATTGATATTTACTGGAAAATATTATTTTCGATTAATGTGTTGTTTTATTCTTGCCACTTAGGTTCTTTGTTGAAACACTCGGAGCCTCCACAAACAGTACGAGCGCAAATTGAATTCAATAATCTCGTACTTTTGCCTTCATATTTATTAGTCAATTCTAATATAATTGTCAGTCACAATATAAGTAATAAGCGAGCGAGATGAAGGAGAAAGTACACGAAGAAAACAAATGTGTATATAATGAGATATATATGTAAATGTAAGCGCATAAGAGATCCTATCACATCCCCTTAAAGCAAAATCTCTCCCCTTTCCCTTCGTCATAAAAAAAGGTAAAAAAGAAAAAACGCGTGCTCTATTTTATGTTTTGTAAGAGTACTTAGTTTTTACCTCGTTATATGTTATTACACAGGTGTGTGCGTGAAATAAAAACAAACGCGCGAGATAGTGCGAATATATGACCAAAACTGGTTTACTCCCGTTACTGTAAAAGCGAGCTCACAAAACGCAGTGCAGGAATAAACATCGTTTATAAATTACTTGCGCGCATGTTTTTCCTTTTTTTCTTTTGTGCTGCGTGTGCAGTACTTTTGAGTAAAATTCCAACGATCTGAAAGTGGATACTAGATGCTTTATATGCGTAAATTTAATTTATACACATGCACGCTTATGTCGATAATAAATAGTCGCATTTTCAAAATTATTAATGAAACATTGATGAATATTGCGCTATATAGGAATCGATTAAGCTTTCTTGAAGAATTGACTATTTCTCGAGAAAAGTTTACTCGATTTTTAATGTAAGAGAATTGCTGCTTGAAATTAAATCTCCGATTTTGTCTGGAAAATATTATTCTCGATTACATTGAGAATATTTGCACGCGAATCAAATAATCGTCGAATAATTCTCTCTCTCTTTCCAGGAATTTCATCGCGTTCCGATGATAAATAATGATAGAAGCGCCGGGTTAGGCGATATCGCGTTTGTATTGTCGTTATTTTTATCGGCGTAACCTCTGATGCGTTGAAACATATCTCAAGCCAGCGATTAAAAGTGTTTTTTTTT